TTCTTGTGAGCAGTATATACACAGATTCCACTAGTATACATATCTTTTATTAATTAATAAAGTAAGCACTTGGAGGAAAAAATACACTAGGTTCCTGTGAGACAGCAACTATCATACAAAAACAGGTTTTTCTATAGATTTGACTATTAAGTTCAACATGTTTTTTTTCATGATCATAAGACCATGCAATTCTTGAAATCTGTACTACAGTCATGAAATTTGGACAACCAGCTTTTTAATTTTAGAAAGTAACTAATTCTTATAATAGAATCTTACATTAGAAAGAGCATTACATAACTTTTTCTTCATAATATAGAAGAAAAATTCTATCATGCCTGCCTTTTTTTTTTCCTGTTAATTTTCTGGAAAAGTAGAATGTGAACTTACCAGTGTTTATTTTAGCATGACCTAATAGTCTGTAATTTAAAGGAAAAAAAATCACAATACCATCTAGCATCTCTTTGTGGGCTTTCTATGTTTCAGATTACTTAGGTCCACTTTAAATCTTGAGAGCTCAGTTTTGGTTACTAAATGTTCCAAAGGATTCCTGGTTAAATACTAAATTGAAGGAAACAAGAGCTGTCTAGAGTTAACCCATCTGATGATTGTGGTTTTATGGGCTTTTTAAGAATCTCTATGGCACTGCACTGATGTTTTTCTAAAAGCTTTGGAGAGGCTGTGATAAAATAACATTATTATTGTAAATACTGTTAGAATTTTTTAAAACCTGCAAAAGTGTTCTCATGTGCTTTGGAATGACATCACGATCCCCACCCCTTCTCAAGAATAATCTGCATCCATTTTTAAAGTGATGATGCTTCCGTGAAAACAAACTTTGGTTACTATTTAATCTGCATATAGGACCATGTCATTTTTATAGGAAAGCCTAGTCAAAGGCAAATCCTATAGATGTACATGTAAGCACAAACACACAACCTCAAGGTGTATATGAGATTATACACCAATATGATCAGGAATTAATTGATGTTTGTAAGTAACAATATTGTCCTTTGTCACAAGACACCTTAAGTGAGACTGGACGTGCAGGCTACATTAGCGGTACATCTCGGCCAGTATTCCATCTTCAGTAATAGCCAAAAGTTCAGAAGAGGTCACAGATGTGTGACAATTCTCACTGACACTCTTCTGACCACCAACTACTTTGATGTCAGGAACTTCCTGAACCATATGTTATTTCTGTTAGTTTAGCAACTTTCAGCACATCACCCTTCCAAGCAATAGTCCATGCTTCCCCTGGAAACCGTATCAGTTTATAATATCTACTGCATATATTTGACAAGTTATCCCACAGGTCTCTCCACTACTGATGTCATGGAGAACCTCTTCTTTTTGAAGGCTCTGAATCTGCCTTTCCTCCTGTGTATGCTTTTGTTTTGAAAGGAAGTTGTCTTCATCTTCCTTCTCTGCAGATCTCCACGATATTGCTCTCAAGTCATTCTTATCCTAGACCAAAGTCCTAGTTTACAGAAATGTTCTTAAATGGAAGCCACTCCATCTAGCTCATCATCCTTGCCAACCTTCTCTAAGCCTCTTCTAGTTTTAATAAACCTTTGAAAGCTCCAGAAGTACACACAGCACTCAGAAGGCAACTGGACCATACACTCTCATAATGACATTCTCAAATTTATTCTGAATTTCTTTACTCTGACATTTGAGTTGTGTTTTGGTGACCAATGAGCTCATGATCTCATAGGATCCCCAATCACAATCCCCAAATCTTACTCCTCAATGGTAATACCCAGCTCAAACTCATAACCTAATATATAATTGGGATTGTTCTGCCTAGTTATCCTTCTCAGTTATCCTCATTTACCTACATTGAATTTTATCACCCATTTTGTTACACAAACATCCTCAGCACTTTAACATCCTTCCATCGTTCTCCACAATGAACCTGAACACTTTAGCATGTACCATTTAAACAACATAATTAGGTTGCAGAGCACACAGAGGATATGAAGTTCCAAGTTTTGCTTTTTGAGACAGTCACCTAACTCAAATTGTAATTCAAGATGTTTTTAACAGTTTCAGCTATCAGTCAGGTAAATGGTTCTGGTGCTCTAGTCCCGCTAGCTAACACAAGCTCAAATAAGAGGGGCAAGGCAGTGGCTGAAAAAAAAACACAATACCACACAGAAGCTGCAAGGACCGTACTAGGACAAGGCCTTTCATGGGAGATAACTTTCTTCATGACGTTACACTAGATGGTTGGGAACAAAAAGACAACTCGTGAAGGACAGAAATAAAGTGACTGAGAGACAGTCACTGGGGAGGGTAGTCTCCCCAGTACATACACTGCATCCTGGCTGTAGGTGGTAGCTATGCAGTAGTCCAAACCCTGCAGCAGAAGTCCAGCCCTGCCCTGAGTCCCACTGCCTGAACAGCATTGCCTGGGTGCAATAGCTGCGACAGGGTTTAGCAGTGCTTTTTTCATAACCTCTGATTTTCATATTATTTATTGGAGCTATTAAAATTAAAATGCTGATTCTGGTTGCCCTGTTTCCTCTTCACCTTATCCCAGCCCTCAGAAAAAGGCAAGAAGTAAGAAAGAGTGGCCAATTTCCAAGCAGCCCCTAACTTCCACTACAGCCTAGAGTCAAGGAACTGCTGTTCTATGTGAAAAGAAAATACTTCATAGATTATTGTAGATTTATAGTGAATAGAAAGAGCCACATTTAGCCATGACTGCTTTTGCTACTGCTACAGCTGTGATGCTGGATGATTGTATCAATGACCTGATGAGCTAAAACACAAAAGCCTTAGGGAGGGATAACTGAAGATGCAGAATATTTAGGATAACAACAAAGCAAATCCCTCTTCAAAGCTATAATCAATGAGACTTTCTGAAGCTGCACAGCAGAGACAAGGAATGTATTTCTGACTCTTGTTCATGCACCAGCTTTGTCTACACAGTGGTATAAATATACACCTAAAAGTCACTAGAGTGACTTCACAGAGTCCCTCACGCCATTTTGCTATGAGAACATCCTTGTGAATGAGGTAAGTGCGTAGCTCTGCATTTGTTCCCATCTCCCATTCAGTATGTTGAACATTCTGCTCCAGAGCACTGTGATGTGCTACGCATGTCATTTTGGGATGCACATTTGAATCTGTAAGAATTCTGATATTGATGCCAGATTAGAGAACAGCTAAAAGCAGTCATGCATAACTTATGCATAACTACATGACTGAACACAGCAGAGGGAGATAAGTCAGACAGTTAGTATCCAGAATAGTCATCTGGATTACAATATTTGGATTCAGGTGACCAGCAGCAACTACTGGATCAGTTTTAGGCAGCAAAGCCAGAACCTGCTAGAAGTCCACGCAGATTCTGCCCTGGAGCTGCACCAATGTAAAACCATTTTGGGCACTCCTGTCAGCCTGATGAAATGTCATAACTGTGGTCACCAAACAACTCTAGTATTAAATCACAAGGTAATCACCTCATTACTGGCAGGGCAACACATCCAGGAAGGTTGATAGTAGCACACGGGGGTTTCTGAATGTCATGTCAAGTCACAGCAATAGGGTTCCCTGTTCCCACAGGTTATGAAACACATACCTGTTGCACTACTCTATCCCAGCTCCATCTCCCAAATGTACAGGCTTAAGACTTTGTCAACACACTGTCATATTTCTACACATCTTGCTGGACACAGTTTACCACATTAAGCATTCACCAATACTAATAATGCATGATCTACGACAAAAGACCCATGTCCTGAAAAGTAATTTTTATTCTCCACAGACACCAGGACACTTATGAGCCCTCCTCTTTTTTTTAAAGCAACTTAGTAGACTCTGCTTCCCTGATTTTCAATCCTACATTAGGTAATGGGAGAAAAACACATGCAAGATGTTGCCTTAAACAGCTGCAGACTGCCAGTGCGACAGGCTTCCAGAAAGGTGGAAGGAAGATGGTGACAAAAAAGATGGAACAAAAATAGTCTTATGATGTATGGTATGCATCAACGTTTCATGCACGTTATGGGAAGAAATCCTGGAGGGCAGATGGAAACATGAAACGGAAACGCTTTTGTGAATCCTGTAGAATGTGTTCCTCTAAAAGTGCTCTCCAACAAGACGCTTGAGCTCCTTTCACGCTGTGGGAAAGTAGCTGGAGGCTAGCAAAAAATTTGCAATCAAAAAGATATGTTTAGTTTAATTTTATTTTTAAAAAGTTGTGAGGAGATGAGTTTTACAATAGTCATGTGTTCCATTTATTTTTCAGACGGGTGTTTAGTAAAATTGATTTATTTACTGATTTAGCTGACAGTGAATTTTTTCAATGAAAAATAATGACCTTAAAAACAAAGCAGGTCATGCACAGAGTGCTCCTCTAGATGATGTACACAAGAATCAGAAGAGTCAGGAAGCACTTCAGTTCAACTGACATAGTGGTCTCAATATGGAACATCTTCTATGTTTTGCAGGGTGTTGGAGACAAAATGCTTGAACCGTGTTTTGTTACAACTGTTTATGTTTAGCACCTTTGTATTGCCTGTTTCTTGTCCCCTTCCAGAAATGCATAATCCATCACAATCTTCTGGGTATTCTCCAGGAAACCCTCCTTTCACCACTCTGCCTTTGCTGAGCTGACAATTTCAAGGTTCAGATCCACCTTTCATTTATCTTCAGAAATCTGATGGCTATCTTTTAGCTACTAATTCCCCTCTTCATATGGGCTGCAGCTTTTTTATGTGCTAAGAGAAATCAGAAAAAAAATAAAGATGTTACTAGTCAACCCACTCATTACAAACTCTATTTTAATACTGCTAACTAGTTTCTTCCCTCATGACCACATTCAGATTCTTTTCTCCCAACTTTTCTTTTCACCGTGTGCCCTTCAAAACTGCAGGATGCCTTCCAAATTACTTCCACATATTACATATGCTGTTGTAGGTTTTTCTGGGACACACATAATGGGGTAAGTTGGTTGCTATTGTTTCAAAAATTGAAATGTCAGACACTGTTGGATAGGCATTTGAGTATGAAGGGTTCTGCTTTTAGTTTTTTGTTTTGGTTTGGTTTGGTTTTTTAAGAAAAAACTAGTAGGCATTACATATTTAATTGCATACACACGCAACTAGCTGTCCTTATCCTAGAGGATATTACTCCCTAGAAAATTCCTGGGAGACTTAAGGATCTCATTTATAAAGACAACAGGCAAACTTGTGATAATGCACTGCAAGGTTACCTATTGACAAGCTCATCCAGCAGTGCTAGCAGAGCATTTCTTTAAAGGGAAAAGAAACCCCAACAACCCAACACCTCCTTTACCTGCACTTTTTGCATCAAACCTCCCTCCCACACACTTTTTCATGCTTTTTATGGCTTCTAAAAATTACACAAAGCTAAGAAAATTCTGTACACATTGTTAGATCTACACAAGCTCACTCTACTAAATAAAAGTTTTAGAACAGCAACACAATTCAAAATTCTTTGTGTACTTCACCCTGAGTGAAGATTGAGCACACTAATGAAACTCCATGACAGCACAGCTTTATACTTGAGACTGCATTAAGATGTATAAACACTCTGAGCATGACTAAGGTCTGGAGCAGGGGGGCAGCATAACCAAAGCTGGAGAAGGCTGTGATTAGTGAGGAGGAAATGAGAGGAGATCAAATCAGCTGCGAAAGGAGGCAGAAAAGTGCAACTCATGTTTGGGACTTGGCACAGCAAAGAAATATATCATTAAAGCTTTAAAGTAAGACTGATGAGAAGATGACATTTCAGTGAGGGGAACAAGAGCAAAGAAAAAAAAATGCAAAGGCATCAAAAAGTGTGATCAAGAGCTCTTGTATTTGTAGAGTCGGGTATTGGAGAAACTGAAGGATGTCACCTGGGCAGGGGTGTAGGCAGTGGCAGGAAGAAACACAGTCCCATGTAACAACACCCACTCTCTATGTCTGTGCATGCCTCCGTACACATGGTTCCCTCCAGCCTTCAAACTATTTCCCCTTGCACCTACATGAGGAGCAGAGCTCCAGGGAGCGTGGACGTGAGCCATGCCATGGCTTCAGCTCAGCTAACACAGGCAGCTCCTTGCTGTGTCTAGCTGGGCTGGGCTGCTTCATGCCTTCCCCACAGCCCCAGGGACACCCCAAAGGCAGGGAGCGAGCAGTGTGCTCCATGGTGACATCAGGGTCACCACTCTCCTCCTGGAGATTTCCAGCCAGGGTTTCCAAATAGGGCAAGACAGGTACGGGACAGAGTTGCAAAGATCTGGACAGTGAAAACAACTGATTTGGGCAGAGAAGATAACTTGATGCTATTCCTCATGGAATGGGTCTTTTAAATTGAGGGTAGAGAGCGCAGAGAATGAGGGGAAGGAGAAGACATGGAGGTACCAGGGAGCTGACAGTGTAAAGTTTCCAAAAAGTCCTTCAGTACAGCTGGACTGATATGCAGGCAAGGTTAGCTGAGCAAAGACCAGGGATAGGGGTAGGGGATACTAACAGTAAAAGCTGATACTCTGGGTGAGAGAGTAAGAGAAATGACAGGATGGAGGGACAGTAGCTGGAGTGCAGAAGTTTGGAGGTGGCCAGCGATGCACACAGTGCATCTGTGTGGATGAGGAGCCCACAGAAAATAAATAAAACAGAAGTCTGATCTAAGTGTGAGAACAGCTAAGTTAAATGTCCAGGGAAAGTCTGCTACCTGAGCGGTAGAGTTCCACTCCAGAAAAAGTAGTTTAAACCCTCCTGTCAAGTTACTGTGTGTTATAGATTAGGAAATCAGGGGAATTTTTCTTCCCCTGCCTCACTCCAAGGAAAAAACGGGGTGGGGGGTGGGGGGTGGGGAGGGAGGTTATTAGTGTTACAAAAGATGTAGCCTGCCTAGGTTAATGGCCCATTTGGAGAGACTAATCTATAACACTGTACAACTGGGCATGCAATACTTACCAGATTAGTTTCCTCCTCCGGCCTCTGCAGGATCCTGTAGCCGTTTCTTGGGTATTGTTCACAGCTGATGAAACACAAAGCTTTGCAGCAGGCCCAGGCCCAGACAGACACTATGGCACGGGTGAGGTTATTGACCTTTTCTTGCCGGGTTTTTACCCAGTTACCTCAGGCTGTGGCATTGTGCACCATCCGAGAGAAAAAAAATACATTGCTGGTGGATTTGGTGGCAATGTCACTTGCAAAACCACAGCCCAGAGCATGTATGAAGGCACTGATCAAGAATCCTGTTGTGTCTCTTTGTCTTCTGCTACATCTTTTGTGGTCCCTTCTGCTGATTCATCCCCAAGGCCAGGTCCAGGTGTGCTTTCTCTCTTTCACTTATGTGGGGAGTGACCTGTACCTGTCTATCCCATAACAATTCATATCTGAGTAGGGTCAGTCATATATGAACTGGAGGCCACCCAGAGCCTTGGCAGACTCTTCAAAACTAATTGATTATTCCAAGCAACTTGCTTGCAACCTCCACCACAAAGAGCAGCCACTCTTGCCTACCTGTCAAAATGTGTGGAGCATCCCCTCAGGATGATCCTGGAGTAAAGAAGGACATGGGTAGTGAGCCAAGTAGGAATACAAACTCCAAATACAAACTCCAGTATATTATAAGCAATTAACCCAAAGAAACCTTAAAGTGGAAACTAACACACCACAACAAGCATTTACTAAAGTAAGTAGTCCTTCGTGATGCAACACTGAGAATTAAGTTCAGTATGGACACATGATGCTGTAAAGGATCTGAAGTGTGTTCAAAGTAACATCCTACTGTGGACTAAGCCATAGTACATTGGTTTTACTAATTATTTCCCAGTAATCATCAGCCTAGACATTCTTTCTCACTTCATCTATTTTAAAGTTCACAAAGGGACAATTCTACCTATCGTTTGCTTGAGTGAATCCTATGTTTCCATACTTCGAAAAACAAAATAGAAGTAAAGAACAAAAAGTGAAGTTAATTTTGCATGCAGTTTCTGTTTGTTAGGGAGAATCTCTTTTTCAACATACAGAAAGAATATCATGCATAATGTAAAGAAAAAAAATTCCCCACAATAGGTTATTCCTTATCCTCTACCTTTAAGAGACTACTGCAGTAGATAATACAAACTGGTTTGTAGTAACTGTTTTCAAGTAGATCATCTCTAAGCCACTAAGATACCAAAAGAATGGGTCAGATGGGTATATATATTTCAAATCTGCTAAGTCCTGGTCCCATCTCTCTCACATACCCCTCTGCAATTTTGAGCAAAAGCAGCTCACATCTAAGGCATATCAACATACACGTTTTTATCAACTTCCAGACTTTACTTAAAAAAAGAAACAAAACTACTTAACCAAACCCAGCCTACCTCTCTGTCAAGTCTGCCCTCCTCTTGCAACCTGACCCAACCACCCCTAGTTTCTAGAGTGCAGCCCTAGCCACTCTGGTCTTGCAGAGCCTCCACTGGCCACGAGCAGTTGCAGAGCCACACTCCTGCCTCCAAGGCTTCACTGCTCTAATGGCAAAACCTGAGGAATCACTTCAGATCCTTGGTGAAAAAGCCTGTAGGTCACTGTGCACCACGAATCAAGTGTTGGAGCTTTCTGTTAGATACACAGGCTGTTCATTATTTACAAAGGCCTGGATGTTAAGAAGACACCACTACAAACAGGAGCAGTATTTATTTACAGATATCATTAGCAATTTACAAGAAAATATAATAAATGGGTCACACAGGAACAGTTGAAGCACTGGATCTTAACTTCAGTATTGCATCAAATGCTGTAAGAGAGCGACAGATCACTAACGCCAAGTTAGTAATTTTCAGTAAGTTCTCATGGAATTTTTTCCTTCTAAATAATCAAAACAATTGGTCATTGGTCCTTATAAGGAAAAATGCCATACCAAACAGAATTTCATAAAATACAGCTGTTTTAACTTTACGGTTCCTTCCATCTGCAGCACCTGAATTTTGGGGTTGCATTTTTATGATTGATTGTTTGGGGGTTTTTTTTCTTAACAAGATAACAAGATAAAACTATTGACGTTATTGGCAGTAGAATTAACTTGTTCATATGGTTTCATCTGTTTTTATGACAGAGAGAGATACTCAATAAAACCACAGCATAGCAAATTTTAAACTAATAAACACCAAAACTTTACTTTTAAACAGCAAAGTATTAGCCCGTTGCTGCTAGAAGATAGCACACAATTAGACAGACAAGATTTACATAAATAACTGGATCATCCAGAATTAATACGATTTCAAGATGGCTTCAGGAAAAAAATAATGCCAACCCTCTTTTTCCAGGGCAAAATACAAACCAGCACAGAGTTAAAAAAGAGAGGATCTTTTCCTTTGTATCTTACGGTTATACCACCCCTTGAAGCATCTAATAGCACCTCATATTAAGACAAAATACAGGACTAGACAGAACAGTAGTCAGAATTCCTGAGTTGTATCAGATCTAGAGAGGATAACACTTTTGTGAACTCCAAACAGCAGCCTCCCATCTCTCCAGAGCATCTTTTGAAACATGCAGTTGAGCTTGCCTCGAGTATAGCAAAGTATATGTTTTAAGACCTCAGGCACTGGGATACCTGCCAAGTCACAACAAATATGTACACATAATCTAATCTACTTAAATTTTGAGTGGAAACTCTGTGCCCTTCAGGTATATCCCTCAAGGCTACGAACAGTATGCTTGTCAGACAGGATGAAGTTTCCCTGTGTAAGTAATAACTGAGCTATTCTGGCATCTAACCACTCCTCATGGCTTCATCCAAACCAAAGATCAGGGAGGGAGGAGTCATGAAGATGAGGGAGAGGAAGTTTGGAGATAGGGGTAAAATGAGATTAAGTAAGAAGAAACAGAGACAAATTAGAGGCCGATTAGGAACAACAAGGCTCTCTTAATAAAACAGGTATAAGAAAGCACTCTTTTCCATTCATCCCTCCCTTTATCTGGCAGATGACAAGTTGGTAAAAAATTCCTCAAAACAGCGAATGCCGTGAAGAGGAGAAGGAGATCTAAAGAGTGAAATGAAGCCAAGCAGAGGCAAATCAGCAGTGTTAACAAATTACAAGGCAATGCTCCGTAGAGGATTTTTCACACCCTTGGTATGGTCACTGTTTAGGAAAAAGTGGGTAGAAAGCAAGCCAGTTAAATCCTTGGGACCCTGTAAGGGCTTCTACAACTAAGAACAAAATTAACAAAACAAAAATCAAAACAGTTTAGAATACAAACAAATGTAAACAAACGGGCATATGTTGACAGCAAAAAGCACTTACTGCATTGTTTTCTGAAATTATGGAATATTACTATTTTTCTTTAAAAGCGGGTGACTATTGAGCTTGAAATTTCATATCACACTCGTTTCTAAGGCCTATGAACCTTCTGTTAAGAAAAGCTAAACAACTGGATAAATTTTAATAAGAGATCTTCCCATTTGGACTCTAAAAAAAATTTCACTGGCAGCCTTACTTCCTATCACTAGTCAATCTCTCAAAATATAATATTTATTAATCCTTTAAAACACTTGGTCTAATTGCACACGATAATGGTCAGGTTTATCTGAAGCAATCTAGTATTTTCTAGTTGTTCTAGTATGTTCTACACTACTGATTTTAGCAGGTTTTTTTTTCTTCTTCTTTACTTCTAACAGATAATGTTACAATTGCAAATTTCAAACTGCAACTGCCCTGATTACCCAAATCTGAGTATCAGAGGGAGAGAAGAGAGATGCAGAGACTCATGCCCATGCCGTTTGTGTGTAACTGCACAAATGAGCAGCCTTTAAGAAAAAAGAAATACGTGCAAATACGAAGTGTGGATTCATAACCAGCTAACGCTGACAGCAGTCTGACAGCACAGCACCCACCCCAGCTTTCTATCATTAAGAACACATGAAAGTGTAACACACAGAAACTTGGCTGTAGAAGTTACATTTCTTTCGTGCCTCCTATCATATCTCAGAAATCTGCCAGAGTAAAGGAAGGTATGTATCCCCTTCTGCAGGAAGGGCTGGGAGCTCATCTTACTAAACCACACTTGTTACATATTATCAACTGCACACAATACACTTATTTATGACCTGTGGCGATGACAACCTGCCATCGCTCTCCCCCGACACACCCAGCCCTGTCACTGTGCACAAGCTGCCACCATGACTAGTGCTGAGGGGAAGCATCTTCTAATGAAAAGGGAACAAAATGGTTGAAAAGAGTTAGGGCTATGCAAACAAATGGCTAAGAAAAAAGACAGACTATAAAAACAGGTACAATGGCCTGATGATGTTTTTGAAATCACTTGTTTCCTTACCAAAGCAGGGGTTGCTTTTGGAGGAGCCTCTATCCCGAATAAGAACGTGAGAATGTATCAGACATTTACATTTTAATTTCTCATTGTTACCATAGTTGTCACCAAAACGTCAAGGTTTATACGCAAAAGGCTGTACTTCGCTGTACTTGCCAAGACAAGGGCTGGTATTTCCCTTGAATTACACACAAACTAGCACTGTGAGACATCACCTTTTCAAAACAAAACAGAACACAAAACAAAACACAGAAGAATCACTCAGTATATAGCTATGGTACAGATAATTGCTGTCAGTTAACCTCAAGGCCTGATCCTTCATCAGATTTGATATCTGCCTTGGCAAGCAACTTCAGCACTTACCTTCTCATCTCTGGATCCAATCCCAAAAGCAAAGCAGCTATCTCCAGAACTAGATAATTCCACCCAAGCAAGCACTTTGTTTACTGGGTCACCCACAGGCAGAGGTGACCATGCTCAGCCAACAACCCAAGCTGGCCAGACACAAGCCACCTTCTTGATGGAGGCCAGGCTGTGTGGCAAAAGCATCCATGAGCAGCTCTATGAGGGATTAGTGGGATGGGGGAGACCTCCAGGCCTTAGGCTGCTAGCCCCATTACCTGAGAAGTGAATGCCCTTCCCCCCACCCCTGCACATGGCCCGGCGACCCCGCAAGGAGCTCACACAAACCACCTGGGAGGGACGGACGAAACAGAGAATTTATTGTGGGGTTGGGGTTTATAAGGCTTTTAGGAGGGTCAAAGGGGACCAATTACAAGTTCAGGGTCACACAGAAAAAAACATCAGGTAAAGGGTCAACAGCCAATAGGAAGGGGTTAACAAAGGACCAATGAGAAACACCTCAGGACACCTTCCCAGGACACTCTGTGTGAGAGACAATAGCTTCACAGGGGGTGTCAGGAAGAGGGAGACAGTGACACTGCAGAAAATGCAAAAAGCCATTTTGAAAACATGTTTAAACCACAGCAAAAACTTCTGTTTTCCTCACCAGTCCATCTCTGACAGGACTTTTTCCATCCTGCATATGGCAAATCCATTGCCACACAGCTCAGAGGCAGGGGTTACAGATCTGGTACAGTGTCTCGGCTAATGCTCTAGGGATTGGAGATGGACACATCTGTCCAGCTGTCATGTTGAAGAGAACACATGAGAGCACTCTGTTAGCACGTCCAGAACCTAGTTATTTTCAGCATGTCCCCATGCTGAAACAGTTCAAGGTA